TATACTCCTTATAAATTTGTTCAGTTTGATAATATGAATTTTTTGTTTGTGACTTTGTATAGTCTTGTTAATTTGATAATCTAAATTTTCAATTTGTGATTTTGGAGGCTGAATTTGAATCCTTTCTTAATAACAGTTTGATAATGACCTTGTCCTTTCGTCCATTCCTGTTTCACGCTCATATGTCCACAGCAGCATGGCCGGCTTCGTCAGTCTTCTAAAAGTCTGCAAGAGCGGGAACCCACAACTCGCCATTGTCTGTGCATCTTCAAGCTCCGTCTACGTCTTGAACTCCAAAGTTCCCTTTTCTGAATCGGACCGAACAGATCTTCCGATGAGCTTCTATGCCGCCACCAAGAAAGCTGGTGAGGCAATCGCCCACCCCATCGTCTCAACTCTCATATCCCTCAGGGCCTCACCTGGACTTTATTCTAAGACCCATTAGAATCCTCTTGCGTAGTTTCTAACTTCCTATTTTTTTAATGTTATTGACTACATTACAATACATTATACGGGGTAATTTTATCTCAGATTTTATATAGCCTTCTACTCTCATGTATCACCTCTTGACAAGTAACTCCTAAAGATGATCTTAGGCTCAATCTCCGCCTAAAATATACTAAGGAATCTCCACATGGTGCAATATTTGTTAAACAAAACCTCCCAAAGGTTAGTTGGTCTCTCCGCCCTCTTTGTTGAAGTAATATCTCTGTTACTCACATTATATTCAGCTGAGATGGACAGTGATGTTTCTTGCCAGGTTCTTGACGGGCTAGCAGCTCGGATAACAACCGCGGTTCAAGGCTATCATCTTACATCAAAACTATTTGGGGAGTGTTGTTTGCAGGTATGCTATCTTAATTGCTTTTTATGCTGATTCATGAGGTATGATGTAACTAAACCACATTTAGGGATGGAACCGGTGACACGAATATGAGTATTGTATAAGCGAATAACAATAGAAAGAACAACCTGAGAGTCTAGATGGCGATTTCTTAGAAAGATAATAAAAACACCTCATGGGCAGTATTAAAAATAAGAACTTTTAAGTCTCTCAAACTTTACTGCATTCATATAAGAGTACTAATTTATACGGAGAAGCGAGTAAACTGATTTCATTATGTGATCTCAATTGTTTGAGTCGCTACCACAGTTTGTTATATAGTTGTTCATCTATCGGGGTGGCAGTTATATTCTTTGGATGTGAGCATCCCAAGCGTCATGTGATATGGAGTTTCTATTGCTGAGTTATTATTTTCCTTCCACATACGTTTGACCAGCCTAGCTTTTTAAGTGAAATGGACTGTGAGCTTTGTTAAGGAAAAAAACTGCAGCGGTAGGTTTTATAAGGTTCCTCTTGCAAAAGTTATTTCATACACAGTGAGCTTTGTTCAAGGTTTAATAGATTTTGGTGGCTAAATGATATGAGCTGTAATTTGGCAGGTCCCAGTTGGTGTGGTTGAAGCCATGACAGTGTTAAAACATCCATTGCCCAGTGCATAAGGGTTTGTGGGTTTTGAAAAACAAAAGGTGTGTTACTAACAAAAGGCGTGTTAAAACATTCATTGCCCAGTGCCCATTGTCCAGTGCTTTTTTTTCTCAACTCATTACTGATTTGATATTCTTTCATTTGTTTTTTATTACTTTTCAGATGAAAGAAGAAATGGAACTAGGAAGCTTGATCCATCCATAGCCAGCAAAGGCCATCCGAGGTATGGACAATGAATAAGGTAGTGGCTCTTACTAATAATATTTTTTGTGTTTAATTCATTAAGTTTCTAGGCATTTAATTCTAAGGCCCATTTTAAATTAGAATCCTCTTGCGTAGTTTCTAACTTCCTATTTTTTTAATGTTATTGACTACATTACAATACATTATACGAAGTAATTTTATCTCAAATTTTATATAGCCTTCTACTCTCATGTATCACCTCTTGACAAGTAACTCCTAAAGATGATCTTAGGCTCAATCTCCGCCTAGAATATACTAAGAAATCTCCACATGGTGCAATATTTGTTAAACAAAACCTCCTAATGGTTAGTTGGTCTCTCCGCCCTCTTTGTTGAAGTAATATCTCTGTTACTCACATTATATTCAGCTGAGATGGAGAGTGATGTTTCTTGCCAGGTTCTTGACGGGCTAGCAGCTCGGATAACAACCGCGGTTCAAGGCTATCATCCTACATCAAAACTATTTGGGGAGTGTTGTTTGCAGGTATGCTATCTTTATTGCTTTTTATGCTGATTCATGAGGTATGATGTAACTAAACCACATTTAGGGATGGAACCGGTGACACGAATATGAGTATTGTATAAGT